GAATAGACTAATAAACAACATACTTATCTTGTTCAACCAAATCATCATCAAGAGACATCGATCAAAGCTAAACGACTTTCTCGACGAATTCCCTCCATTGATGAAAATGTTGATAAAACTAAATACATACAATATATATAAATTAGCCCCGGCGAACTCAAACTAAAGAGACTCTGGCCAGTATAATGTATACGGTCGCGATAGTATCATCAGTCACACTCGACGCCGTAATAAGTGTACTCTAGACTACTTACCAAGAAACGATTTTGATCGACAAATTCCCTCCATTGATGAAAACGTTGATAAAACTAAATAATATACAATAAATTAGCCCCGGCGAACTCAAACTAAAGAGACTCTGGCCAGTATAACGTATACGGTCGCGATAGTATCATCGCTCACACTCGACGCCGTAATAAGTGTACTCTAGATACTACTTACCAAGAAACGATTTCAACTAATAATAGTAAATAGAAAAAAAATTAGTATATTTAACTCACATACGACGTTATAATAGGTAGGAAAAAAATTAATACATCAAGCTAAATTATAATTGACTGTTATTAAACAAAAAAAGTAGTTCTTAAATACAGTAGTGTTTGTTTGGTTTGTTTTGAATTTTCCTGATCGCGTATCAAATATATCGTACGTACCGTTTTACTTATTTGCACGGGTAATACAAACCAAAAAAAGGAAGAATAACATCATTATTCGAACAATGGTAATTTGGGCTGACACTTGCCGCTTCTTGGCCCATTATTCAAAAATTTTTGCCAAATAATATATACTTATCTGTAAAATTTCATTTCCGACATTTTTAATTAGTGCGTATTTTCACCTTTCGGCCAGTGTTTATTTTTCACGTACCCACATCTGTGCGGATCCGATCAAATTGCTTTATTTTCAAAAAATCAAGTAATTTGATTGGATCCGCACACGTGCTTTCCTCTTCAAGTGTTTTGTTTTGATAAACACACTAGCTAACGCCACGTAGTAGACTTTCATCTGATTGGCTTATATAAATAAATTGCCTGGTGTAACAAAGTGTAACAAAGATAATCAATTTAATACTAAATATGTTTCAAATCAATCTAAGCGACTCCACCGTAAGTTCTGAGTGCTCCACTGTCGAATGTTCTGAGTGCTCCACTGTCGAATGTTCTGAGTGCTCCACCATAGGTTCTGAGTGCTTCACCGTCGTATGTTCTTCCCGCGAGTGCTCCCCTGTATGTTCCTGCGAATGCTCCCTGTATGTTCCCGTGAATGCTCCCCTATAAGTTCCCGTGAGTGCTCTCCTGTATGTTCCCGTGAATGCTCCCCTGTATGTTCCCGCAAATGCTCTCCTACGAGTTCCCGCGAATGCTCTCCCGTATGTTTCCACTTCTCTGTATATTCCTGCTCCCCTGTATGTTTCCACGAGGGCTCTCCTGAGCCAACAAGGATCAGATATTTATAAGAAATTATTACAGTATATTAGTACAATTTTTACGATTAAAACACTACTATCCCTTAAACCGTCCAGATTAGTGGACAAATTTGTCCGCTAAAATTTTATAAATTCATATTTGATCTACTTTTAT